ACAAGAACACGTGTCATGTTTTTGTAATTTACAACAACACTACCAGTATATATTATAAGAAATCCCAAAGTAGTCCGTTTCCTTTACATGTTCTCATTCACCAGGATTAGCCATACTTAAAAAGCTTGGTATGTGATTTAACTCACATTTTTTTCCATTTTAGTTCTTAAGGGGCTTTGCAACATTTCCCCTCTTGTACTAAATGTGGTGTATTTATGACTACTGTCATTTGTGCCTCCATTTCTCTTTTACTATCTTGTTTCACTTCAGTCACTCCGCAGCCTAATATGAATTTATTTTGAAACAAAACCTGGTGTAATTTTCCAGCTGACTCATCTTGTTATTTTATGACCTACTTGTCTCAGCTTTTTAAATTACACCTGCATTGCTAATTCACAATTTCATGCAGGTTACCTTCCTAAAAAGGTCTTTTTACTCACACATGCATGTGCACATGCACCCCCCCCCCCCCCACACACACACAGACTAGAAGAGACAAAAAAAATTGAACATACAAAAGAAAACTAAATGAAAAATGGACTGAAAATTGACTGCTTTCTCTTTATGTTTTACAGAAGTGAGGAATGGTCTTTACACAGTATCACAAGGTCACAATAGGACCTATATAGGCTGTTTGAGTAAATAACTTGAAGGAAACTAGGTGCCTCTCTGTATCTTTAGGTTTTCTAATAAGTCCTATAAAACTTTATGATCAATGAAGCTCTGTTTTCAGTCATGCTGATATAGTCTTTATAGTATTATAATTTTTTATTGCAAATGAACACCTTTTAAACAACATTGTTACTGCTACTACTTATATTTGTTGAACAAATTTATCATATTGAAATAATTTAACACTAACTTTCAGTTTGTTCTGCTTGCTGCTTCAGATGTAAGGATGTATGATTCCTCAGTCTGGAAAAAAAGAACAGTATGCTAACTGCATTCATAGGTTATAAATTATTTGAACTTGTTATTTCCCTTCTTTAAATTTTTTCTCCTCATTCTCAACTTCCCTGTGCTTTCCTAATTTTTTCCTTGTCTTTCTGGCTTTGAATCTCCTAATGTTGTCACATTTTTGCTCCCTTTTCTACCTCAGCCGGTCGTGTTTCATGTTTTGTTTTTCCCTGCCAAGTGTTTTCAGCTCATGTCACTCATTCAGCTCATGTCACTCATTCAGCTCATGTCACTCTGCACCACGCCTCCTCTGCCCTGCCACTGCAATCAGCGGCATCCAGCGCACCTGCTCACCTCCCTTCTTAAGCTCCATGTTCACCCTCATTCAGTGCCAGATTCTCAAACCTCTTCCAGTAGTAGAAAAATACTAAGTATTGAAAGTAAAAGTACTTGCTGAATGTATTACCTAATACAATGGTCTACAATATCTTTAAGTGTACCTACCATATGCATATTTTCTGTAATACATTAATAGTGTTGTTTCATTTTAATGAACAATCCTGCAGATAATACATGTTTTATTGTGTTTACTCTGTGACACAGTTCACACTTGGACTTGTGATTCTGTGTGTCAGAATTTCAGGGATGACATGCAGAGTTAAATGCCATTAAGCAAAATAAGAGAGGAATGGTTATACCTTTGAAAGTTTTAATTTAACACAAAGCAAACAAATGTGTCCTTTTAACTGCAGTAAACACATTTAAGCAAAAGTTGTCTGCCTGAACAAAGGAGCATTAGACACAACTGACAAAGGAACAGGCACTGATCAGTTCAACTCCAGTTTGTCATCAGCTCTAGTTAAAATATTGTCTATTGAACCTTGTAATGGGTCAATAGTGAACAATATTTTAACTTCCTGACACCGTTTTCAAAACTTGGACCTGAGTGTCGAGACATTTGGAGACATCTCTTGTCTCCTAACATCCCATGAACTGACACATTTTAATATTGCAGCAAGAATTTCTTGTTCAAGTTCAGAGAAGTTGGTTTTCAAAGTTTTTTGAGTCCAGTCTGGCTCTTTTAGGACATAAAATCTGTCCTGCTGTGCTGAAGATGTATCTTCTGTCTGACCCGCCACAGTGGAATCCATTTTGGGTGTGTTAGCAGTGCTGTGTGTGAGCCCAGCTCAACGACATATATACTAGAATGTATGTCATTGGCCCAGCTCTTCTTGAAACGTTACCTGCCCACTTTGCAGTGATTCAATGGACCAACTCCCCTCTCGCCATTGGTTACTTTCAAACTAATGAACAAATAAATTAATTAAAAAACGCAACGTGAATGTAACTTGTAACACAACACATTATAGAAATGTACAAACCGGATTCCAAAAAAGTTGGGACACTAAACAAATTGTGAATAAAAACTGAATGCAATGATGTGGAGTTGTCAAATGTCAAAATTTTATTCGTAATATAACATAGATGACAGATCAAAAGTTTAATCTGAGTAAATGTAACATTTTAAAGGAAAAATATGTTGATTCAAAATTTCAGTGTCAACAAATCCCCAAAAAGTTGGGACAAGTAGCAATAAGTGGCTGGAAAAAGGAAATTGAGCATATAACGAACAGCTGGAAGACCAATTAACACTAATTAGGTCAGTTGACAACATGATTGGGTATAAAAAGAGCTTCTCAGAGTGTCAGTGTCTCTCAGAAGCCAAGATGGTAAGAGTATCACCAATTCCACCATTGTTGCACAGAAAGATAGTGCAGCAATACCAGAATGGTGTTACCCAGCGTAAAATAGCAAAGACTTTTAAGTTATCATCAACCGTGCATAACATCATCAAAAGATTCAGAGAATCTGGAACAATCGCTGTGCGTAAGGGTCAAGGCCGTAAAAGTCTACTGGATGCTCGTGATCTCCGGGCCCTTAAACGTCACTGCACCTCAAACAGGAATGCCACTGTCAAGGAAATAACAGAATGAGCTCAGGAATACTTCCAGAAAGCATTGTCAGTGAACACAATCCACCGTGCCATCCGTCGTTGCCTGCTGAAACTTTACAGTGCAAAGAGGAAGCCATTTCTAAGCAAGCTCCAGAAGCTCAGACGTTTGCACTGGGCCAGGGGTTATTTAAAATGGAGTGTGGCAAAATGGAAGACTGTTCTGTGGTCAGATGAGTCACGATTTGAAGTTCTTTATGGAACACTGGGACGCCATGTCATCCGGACCAGAGAGGACAAGGATAGCCCAAGTTGTTATCAACGCTCCGTTCAGAAGCCTGCATCACTGATGGTATGGGGATGCATGAGCGCTTGTGGCATGGGCAGCTTGCATGTCTGGAAAGGCACCATTAATGCAGAGAACTATGTTCAGGTTCTAGAACAACATATGCTCCCATCTAGACGTCATTTCTTTCAGGGAAGACCCTGCATTTTTCAACACGATAATGCCAGACCACATTCTGTAGCAATCACAACATCATGGCTACGTAGGAGAAGGATCCGGGTACTGAAATGGCCAGCCTGCAGTCCAGATCTTTCACCTACAGAGAACATTTGGCACATCATAAAGAGGAAGGTGTGACAAAGAAGGCCCAAGATGATTGAACAGTTAGAGGCCTGTATTAGACATGAATGGGAGAGCATTCCTATTTCTAAACTTGAGAAACTGGTCTCCTCTGTCCCCAGATGTCTGTTGAGTGTTGTAAGAAGAAGGGGGGATGCCACACAGTGGTAAAAATGGACTTGTCCCAACTTTTTTGGGATTTGTTGACGCCATGAAATTTGGAAACAACAGTTTTTTCCCTTAAAATGATACATTCTCTCAGTTTAAACTTTTGACCTGTGATTTGTGTTCTATTCTGAATAAAATATTAGATGTTGGCACCTCCATATCATTGCATTCAGTTTTTATTCACAATTTGTTTAGTGTCCCAACTTTTTTGGAATCCGGTTTGTAGTGTAGTAGAAAATACAGATACTTCATGTAAAATGTAGTGCAGTAAAAGTTGAAAGTACCCATGTTTAACTCTATTAAGTAAAGTATAGATACATGAAAAATGTACTTAAGTACAGTAACAAAGTACTTGTACATTGTTACATCCCACCACTGGAAACCATTGACCCCCACGACCCGAAAAGGAAGAAGTGGGGAAAGATAATCGATGGATGGGGTTTAACTCATTGGTCTAACCCTCTGCAATGATCCAAGTTCCATGTGTGGCCTTTTAGAGAAAAGTGGTCTTGTTTAGGGCAACTAAAAGAAAAGTACAGTAAAAAACATGCACATTAAGAGGAACTGACAAATAAATTGGGTAATGGAGGATAACACTTTGATTACATAAATGGTTATGATATGAAACCCGTATTTTACAGTATGTGAAGTACACATATACAAAAGTATATATGCTAATTCATTTTTTTATTCTGAAACCGCTATAGGTTTTAGAGAGGGTTGACTGATTTTAGCTCTGGGAGAAATAGTTTATCGGTCTATTTGAGCAGGATTTAATACTTCCATCCAGATGGGAGCAGGTCAAACAGCTGCTGGCTGGGTGTGTTTTATTTTCTGTCTTGAATCTTAAGTCCATATTGTGGACTTATTCCCCACTTGTAAGTTGATTATTGTTAGTTTCACACTCGTCCTGAATATTTAATTTAGACTTTGGCCCCTTTTGAAACATATTTTTCATTCCAAGTTTTGTTCTGATTGTGGAAACTGCAGTCTAATACACATAAATCTACGGCAATTAGTCTAATAAGAGATTCTGGTCTGTGTGAGGTCGATACTTAGTTTTGCTTCCTTTTAAGAAGTCCGGGGTCAATCTGTGTGCACACTCAAGTGTGCAGAAGTTTTAGTCATGGCATTATAATAATCCAGTCAAAGTAACTTGATCAGCTTCTGACAGAATGTTCCTCTCCTCATGTGACATGAAGGATTTTTTAAAGCCACTTTCTATAAAATGCTGGTGCTGTTTTTGTGGAATGACTTTCACATTAAGCTTTAGACCTTTTATGTTTTTTTCTCTGTACGTTAGGTGTCTCTTTGTGTTCAGTATTTTCCAACTTTGTCATTTTTCTGGATGTGTTACAGGTCGCTGAAGAGCAACAAGATCCAGGTTTTGCCTGACTTTGTGTTCTCGGAGTATTCTGCGCTAGAGAAACTGTGAGTATTTCGTCTGTCCACCTGTAGCAGTGGCCTGCGACTGAATCTTTTGTTTGGTTTTTATTTGCACGGCCAGAGGGCACAACTGGCTCTGTTGTTTCAGAATCTGAGATTTATTGGAAGTAAAGTTTAGAAAACAGAAAGATAATATTTACAAAGAAAGAAAATGAAAAAGACAAAATCAAGAAAGAGATGTTAGTCAATACGTTAACTCACATATATGCTTATAGTTTTTCCCTGACCCTCAGAACATGCAGGACTTTCCAATTTCCAAATCAGTTCAAAGTTTATTTCAACGTGAAATTCGTTGTCACTCAATGTTATAAAAATGGGTAAAATAATATAAATTCATATACAGTTCACATTTATTTTTTTTATGTCCTGTCTGAAAAGTGAAAGGCAAAAGTTAATATATTTGCATGTGCCTCTCTGTGTGTGTATGTTTGTGTCTGTTAGCAAAATATCTCGCAAATCACAGGACATATTTTAAAGAAACTAGCAAAAGCATATCATTGGGTTTACATCTGTAACTGGTTAATTTTAGGACCTACCCCAAATCAAGACAGATTTCCAACATCTGACCTTAAAATGACATCAAATTAACTGTAATTCAATCAGTTACACAGATATTGTGCTAAAACTTGTTGTGGCAGTAACTGAGTGTCATTCACAACACATGATCCTAGTGTGATGTCTTGTGATATCATATTTGATTGTGCATAATGTTATTTTTGAGATTTGATTAAAAATTGGTTGAAGACCACAAGGAGGGAAACGTATCAGGAGACAGAGAGGGAAGAGGAAAATGAAGAATGTAGGACTGAGGGTGGCAACTCTAAATGAGGGGACAATGACAGGCAAAGGTAGAGAGCTGGCTGACATAATGCAGAGAAGGAAGATAGATGTTTTATGTGTCCAAGTGAAAGGACAGCGAGGCTCGCAGCATTGAAGCAGGTTTTAAACTGTTTAACCATGGTGTGGATAGAAAGAGAAAAGGAGTAGGGGTGGTCCTGAAGGAGGAGTTGACAAAGAATGTAGTAGAGGTGAAAAGAGTGTCAGGTAGAGTGTTGTGTCTGATGGTAGAAGTAGAAGGTCTAATGTTAAATGTTGTCAGTGGTTATGCTCCACAGTTTGGATGTGATGTGAAAGAGAAAGATAAATTTGGAAGGATCTGGAAGAAGTTATATAGAGTATTCCCAAGGAGGAAAGAGTGCTGATTGGAGCAGACCTGAATGGACATGTTGGTGAAGGAAACAGAGGGGATGAAGAAGTGATGGGTAAGTTTGGTGTCAAAGAAAGAAACCAGGAAGGACAGATGGTGGTAGATTTTGCCAAGAGAATGGAAATGACTGTAATCAACACCTATTTCCAAAAGAGAGATGAATATAGAGTGACCTAGAAGAGTGGAGGAAGGAGTACATAGGTCGACTGCATCCTGTGTAGAAGAGGAAACCTGAGGGAGATTGGAGACTGTAAGGATGTGGCAGGGGAGAGCGTGGCCAGACAGTATCAGATGTTTGTTTGTAGAATGACTGTTGAGAAGGAGAGAAAAATAGTGAAATCAGAGAAGAAGACCAAATGATGGAAGCTTAAGAAGGAATAATGTTGTGAGAAATTCAGAGAGGAGCTGTTAAAGGCTCTGGGTTGTAAGAAAGAGCTTCCAAATGACTGGGCTACTACAACAACAGTACTTAGAGCGACAGGTAGGAAGGTACTAGGTGTGTCATCTGGACAGAGAATGGATGATAAGGAAACCTGGTGGTGGAGTGAAGCGCAGGAAGCTGATCAAAGAAAGAGGTTAGCCAAGAAGAAATATGACAGTGAGAGGACTGAAGAGAGGAGACAGGAATATAAGGAGATGCAACATAGAGCAAAGAGAGAGGTACCAAAGGCAAAGCAGATGATAATTTGTATGGAAGTATAGACACTAAAGAGAGTGAGAAGGAGTTGTACTGATTGACAGAGGGATCAGGCTGGAAAGGATGTGTAGCAGGCTAGGCTTGTTAAAGATGGGAAAGATAATGTTCTAACAAGTGAGAAGAGTGTGATGGCAAGATGGAAGGAGTACTTTGAGGAGCTAATGAATGAAGAGAATGAAAGAGAAAGAAGAGTAGATGTCATAGAAACTGTGGATCTGTACATGGGAAAGATTAGTGAGGGTGAAGTCCAGAAAGCTTTGAAAAGAATGAACAAGGGGAAGGCAGTTTGACCTGATGACATACTAGTAAAGGTTTGGAAATTTCTTGGAGAGTTGGCAGTGAGGTTTTTGACTCAAATATTCAATGGCATATTTGAGGGTGAAAAATGTTTGAGGAATGGAGAAGAATTGTGCTGATGTCCATTTTTAAGAAAAAGGGTGATGTACAGAGTTTTTGCAGAGTGAAGATATGGAAGAGTGTTGTGGAAACTAGTCTTAGACTAGAGGTGACTGTGAGCAGCAGTATGGTTTCATGCCAAGAAAGAGCACCATAGATGCCATCTTTTTTTGAGGATGCTGATGGATAAGTACAGAGAGGATCAGAAAGAACTCCATTGTGTCTTTGTGGATTTAGAAAAAGCATATGACGGGGTGCCGAGGGAGGAGATGTGGTATTGCATGAGGAAATCTGGAGTGTCAGAGAAGTATGTTAGACTGCTGCAGGACATGTATGAGGACAGCAAGACAGTGGTAAGATGTGCTGTAGGAGTAACAGATAGCTGCTAGGTGGAGGTGGGATTGCTTCAAGGATTGGCTCTGAGCCCCTTCTTGTTTGCTCTGATGATGAACCAACTAACTGATGAGGTCAGGCAGGAATCCCCGTGGACTATGATATTTGCAGATGACATTGTAATCTATGGTGAGAACAGGGAAAAGGTGGAAGGGAACTTAGAGAGGTGGAGGTATGCACCTGAAAGAAGAGAAATGAAAGTCAGCCGTATTAAGACAGAGTCCATGTGTGTGAATGAGAGGGAGGCCAGTGGAACAGTGAGACTACAAGGAGCAGAGGTCACAAAGGTGCAGGACTTCAAGTACTTGGGGTCAACTGCCAGGAAAATAGGGATTGTGGTAAACAGAGTCCAGGCAGGACAGAAAGGATGGAGAAAAGTTTCAGGAGTGATTTGCAAAAAATGGGTGTCAGCAAAGGTCAAAGGAAAAGTTTAGAAGACAGTGGAGAGACCAGTTATGTTATATGGTCTGGAGACAGTGGTATTGACAAAAAGACAGGAGAAAGAACTGGAAGTAGCATAAATGAAGATGTTGAGGTTCTCCTTAGGAGTGACAAGGATGGATAAGATTAGGAATGAGATCATCACAGGTACAGCACATATTGAACAACTGGGAGATAGAGAGGCCAGACTGAGATGGTTTGGACATGTCCAGAGGAGGGACAGTGGGTATATTGGTAGAAGGATTTAGAAATGCAGCTGCCAGGAAAAAGACAGAGGAGATGTATGGATGCAGTTAGAGAGGACATGGAGGTAGTTGGAGTGAGGACAGAGGATGCAGAGGACAGAGGGATGGAGGAGGATGACTCGCTGTGGCGACCCCTGAAGAGGGAAAAGCCAAAAGGAGAAGAAGATTAAAAAGGCTACAATTCTTTAAATAATTGCTAGACCTATAATTTATTACCTATAAAAGAAAAAAGTTTTTAAATGTTTGGAGATTGGGTCATGTGCACCCATAAAGCTGTTGCATACAGTATTTTGCATCCTATTTTATCCAAGCTCTTTGCATTTCTCCTATTCTCTGTGCTCATATTTATTGTATGAATATGAAAACATTTTCAACAAAGCTACTTTAATTTACAAATATATTCACACACTGTGTTTATTAATTAAGATTTTCTTTAATCGCCATTACTTTAAATTACAGTACAGATGCTGCTGTGCTTTAATAAGATCAACATCCCATTTTAAATGCATAAGTCAACATCAGATTTGCTTTTTAAAGGACTGAAATTCATGCACATGAGCAGGCAGATGGGTAAAGTTGTAGCCAAAAAACAAAATAATGTGATGCAACCACCAGGAGATAGAATAGTAAAAACCCAAAAGACGAGAACCATAAATACGCTTGTCACACAACAATGATGATCTGACTGAACAGAGGGAGTCAGGGACTGCTTTTACCCAGAAAAGAAAATAACTACTAAACAAAGCAGGTGGTATGATAAATTAATTAGAGCCAGATGGAAGAGAAGAGCATGCATCAAGGTAAACAGAAACAAAAACTAAAACACGGATTAAAAAAAGCTGTTTTATCAGACATAAAATACTGGATGGAGTGGCAGTGCAGAGGTTAGAGAAGGTGGGCCTGTGATCAGAAGGTTGTTGGTTCAACTCCTTGTAGCAACAGCATCAAAATGTGGGTGGGAAAGGTGAAACGCCTACCTTCACCCTCATTTGTCCCAGTCTGGGCCTTTGAGCCAGGCCCTTAACCCCCACCATCTGCTCCTCCAAGTGCCCTAGATGACAGCTCTCTGCTCCACACAATGGGCTATGCTATAGTAGCCTGGTGGTCTGTGGTTGTGTCAGGAAGGGTATCCAGCATAAAAACAATTGCCAAGTCTTCATGCAAGTTAGTTCGCTGTGGCGACCCCTGAAGAAGGGAGCAGCCGAAAGACGAAGAAAAAAACAGTCATAAAATGCTGAAAAGAAATAAGGAAAACCACAAACAAAACAACAAAAAAGTTTTATACCAATCCCAACATGTACAATGATCAGTCAGAAACAACTTCATATTTTAATTCATTTGTTTATTTTTTCCAATCTTTGCCTTCTTTGGGCTTTGATTCTGAGACGTGAACCCTCTCTGCTGCTGAACCATTCTCCTGCAGGGATCACAGCTCTGCATAAACTTGGAGTTTTAATAGTTCAAGGCACAAATATTTTGTTTTTAAATGTTACATATAAAGATAAGGGGAAACATGCTCATTTGATAATAATGGGAACACAGATACATGTATGTCAGAGCTATTCAACTGGCGACCCACAGGCCATTTCCGGTCCACAGGTGCAATCCGGCCCACCAATGACTTCATAAAAAATAATAATAATACTTTTTTTGGGGGGGGGGGGGGTCTGGGTTTTGGGTTCTGTTTATTGCATTTATGATTCAGTGAAATAAATTAAACACATTTAAAAGGTAACAGATGCTAAAACTTATTTTATTTACATAATTCCTTTAATCTCTGGATGTCCAGCCCCTGAGCTACTGGCTTTCAGAAACTGTGGCCCCCTGAGCAGTTTTGTTGAATAGCCCTGATGTTTGTCATCCTGGCTCAGCAGAACACTCGATTCTGTCCTTGAGGTAAAATATTGTCTGTTCTTTTCTGTTAGAAGAAGCGCTTTGTGCTGACGGTGTCTCTGTTTACAGTGGCAGTTCACTCTCATAGATTTATTTTTTTAATTATTCACAAGGAGCTCTGTTTATTATGAACATGGTTTTTTTTAGATTAAAAACAACCTAATTTACTTTAAGGTTCACACACACACACACACACACACACACACACACACACACACATACAAAAAAGTCTGAAGTCACATCGAATAATGAATATTGCTTTAAGATTCAAAGACCCCATGAAAGGCGAAACAAACGTTGAGTAGTGAACCAGCAAGCTTCCCTTTTTCCTCACCCTGTTTGATGACTTCAGTGGGTCTTAAACTTCATCTTAAAACCAAACCAAGTCCTAATTTCTGTGTTTTAATGTGTTGCCGCATATTCAGTTTTATGATGGTGATAAATGTGTTGCTGTTCTTCTGCTCCATTGCTCACAGAAGACTTTGCAGCAGAATTTAATTGAAAGTGATAATGTGTGCAAGATCAAAATATTTTTAGCAGTGAGACATTTATGTTTTATATAGATTACTTTATCTCCATTTATTAACTGTCTTGGTTTATTTCATTGCTGTATCTTTTAATTAGGTTTTATTGGTTATATGACGGCAGCGCCAGATTTCCGATTAATAATGTGACAAGGTTAAATGGTGATATCGCAGATTGACAGTTGTTAATTGACTTTTTTGTTACAACTTAAACACACTGATGCCTTCATTATTATGGAAATGTATGTACACATTAATGAGTTTGTATATAAAACCCAAAAGAGTCTCAAAACCATAATTCTGAGAAAGCAAGACCCCATAAAGATCAGCAGCAAAACTCAAGAAATTATGCTTTTTGTAATTAAAATAACATCAAATATTATTGTTTGCACTTATGTTTGGATGACTAATGAAATGAATAAATCTATTAACTATTTTTCCTCTGCTTTATTATTTCATTTAAACAACCTATTTATTTGCCACATAGTAACTCTCTAAACCTTTGTCTTTTTGGCAGGACCATTTAAATAATAAAAAGGAACGTGCAGCAAACATAAACTAACAATTAATAAAGCGCAAAAGTAAATCAAGAATTTATTTATAGACAAAACTGAGGAGATTAATACAGTTTTGTTTAGTGCACAAGTTTTACTGACCCAGCTGAACTTTTCTTGCTGCTTTAAATTGACTCCCGGCAACATTTTATTGTTTTTAACGACACAGACTAGAGTGCATCATCAATTAAGTGATGACGTAAAATAAAATCTTAAAGCATATAAAAATTTATGAAGGCTTGTTGTTGTTCCATCATTTAATGTGCTTCTCTTATAACACCATCATCCTCAATTAAACAGGATTCATATGTTTGCGATGCATTTGATTGAATAACATGCTGTAATGTGTTGTTTATTTCAGTTATCAGGTAAAATGGTGAAGCAAGGTAGAGAGTTGAAGAGCTGCAATAGCTATTTAGCTTTAGGGTTAATGACTCTGGAAGGAAGAAGACACAGTTGTTCACTTCCCAACTTTAATAGTGTGAATGTTGAGCCAACGTTCACCCTATTGTTTTTCTGTTTGACGTTTTTCTGTAGGGTGGCATGGTTGGTAAGCTGGTAGAGCTGTTGTCTCAACGGATCATCAGATCAAATCCTAGCTGGGGGCCTTTCTGGGTGGAGTTTGCATGTTCTCTCCGTGCATGCATGGGTTTTCTCCAGATACTCCGGTTTCCTCCCACAGACCAACAACATGCATGTTAGACTGATTGGTAACTCTAAATTGTCCCTAGATGTGAGTGAGAGAGTGAATGGTTGTTTGTCTCGTTTGTCTCTATGTGGCCCTGTCATGGACTTGCGACACATCCAGGGTGTACCCCGCCTCTTGCACAGAGATAGGTGGATATGGGCACCAGTGACCCCGCAGCCCAAAAAGGAAGAAGTGGGTAAAGTTAATGGATGGATGGATTTAGCTTTTGATTAGTGTTTTGCTACTTTTGGCTATCATTCTTCTCCTACAAGTTTTAGTTAACATTATGTTCCTTTTAGCTTTTAACTATCTTTCTCCCTCTTTAAGCTTATATGGGGAGTGGTGGCGCAGAGGTTAGAGAGGTGGGCTTGTGATCCGAAGATCGCCGGTTCACGCCCCGGCCCCGACAACATCAAAAATTGTGGGTGGGGTAGATGAAACACCCACACTTGCCCCCACCCTCATTCGCCCCACTCTGGGCCCATGAGCAAGGTCCTTAACCCCCACCATGTGCTCCCTAAAAAACAGGTCTCTCTTGAAAATGAGTTCTCGTGGCTCAATGAGACTAACCTGGATAAATAAAGGCTAAATGAAAAAAAAAAAAAAAATATGTATAGTTGTTCTCTTTTCAACTTTTTGCAACCATTCTACATTTTTACCCCTTTTACGTGACTATTGTAACATTACCATTTTTTTAACATTACTAATTTGGCTTTAGCTTCTTTAGCAAACTTAAGCAAGGTCATTTAGCATTTACGTGGCACTTTCACAGATAATGAAATATATCTTCTTGAACAGCAAGGTTCATGCTCAATAATCCAGGTAAAAAATCCAACAAAGTTAAGTCAGGTCCTCTGGATGGTTTCTTTTTTTTTTGTTCTTGTTGAAATGGTTTGTCCTTCATCCAAAGGATGAAGAGTGTGCTGCTTGTGGGACTGAGTTTGTTGTGGCTCCTCGGACTGCTGAAGTTCTTTGGATGAAGGACGAAATGTTTCAACCAAAAAAGAAACCATCCAGAGGACCTGACTGAACATTGTTCATTATCTTCATGAATTTTCTGTTTCTGAAGCCTCACTTGTTCTACCTAACTCCATATACATAAAGGGTTATGGACAAATCAAAAACAAACCTAAAAAACATCCCAATTGCATCACAAAATGTATTGTTAAAAGAATCAGCTGTAATAGGTGTTCTATATGAAACACTGCATATTTTTACACTTTTATCTCAACAACTGAAGCCAGGTACTGTTAAATTACTTCCTGCATAAGTGTTGAATAACAGCAACAACTTCATTTAAAGTGATGGTTGTCATCAATACATAAATAAAAAAAAGATTAAAAAGTCAGTAAAATTGACACTATAATTACTGTTACAACATTGCTTTAGTTTCACATTATACTCCTGTTGTGCTTTTTTTCAGATGTGGGGTCATTACAATTTCAGATAAAACATTTTCTTTTTGTTTTCAGGTTTCTCCAGAACAACAGCCTCCAGTTCATCTCTAAACATGCCTTCAGTGGTCTGTTCAGTTTGAAAAAGTTGTAAGTATTCTGGTCCTGTCATTACACAGCAATAATCTCTAATGAAGACTTAAAAAGGCTGTTCTAAAGCTCCACGTGGGCAAACTTTTAAAATAATTTAGTAGGTTTAAAACACATCAGCTTAAGATGTGATTAGTTTTATCATTTAACTAAGTGGCAATGGGTTGTTTGTTTACAAGGAGAAACTTAATTTTGATCTAATGACATCTTTCTCCAGTTATTATTCTGCTTTGATTTGGCTACACAGTTTTGTGTGCCAATTTGAGATAGTTCCCACAATTAGGAACCAGACTTTAAGAGAGAAGGCAATTACTCCCAACCACCTGCACAATGTCAGCAGAGGCCAGTCAAGAAGAGAGGAACAAACTACACAAAATTACATTCAAAAACCCTAAATTAGTTCAATAAATAAATTAAACTTGTGAGATTTTTGCAGGTTCTTGCTGCACTGAGTAATTTTTACTCTCATGAGCACAAACAATTCTTCAACTCAAATTAATTGTCATTTTATGCAAAAACATAAAAATGAAAATAACCCCAGGACATGTGGCATACATTAAATTCCCCAAAACAACCACAAAAAATCTATGTAGTTCAAATTTGCACATACACATACATTTTATTTTTTAAATTCTAAAATTAAATGACATCAATAGCAGCTAAAGGTGTCAAATTGTTTCTGTTTCTGAGGCTCAAGAAGCTGAGTTGCCCAATCTTACTGCCTCAAGGTAAAACCTGTTTTTAAACGTTGATGTGGCCTTAATGCTCCACAGCCTTCTGCCCAAGTTGAAGGTTTTGAAGCTCATATTCCCTGAAACTGAGGAACTGGAGTTTGTTAGAAGCATTGTGGGCAAATCAACTTTTATAAACATTGCATTTAATCATTTTACAAATTATTTTTGTTTACCACTTTGTTCACTGCACAGGTTGACTAATAGTTTAGTTATATTTGTTTTGTCTGTGGTTTTCTCCTTCTCAGGTTTCTCAGTGAAAATGTAATAGTCTCCCTTAGTTCTGGTGTGTTCCGGGATCTGAAACAGTTAGAGTGGCTGTAAGTAACCCACACATAAACTAATATTTATCTATGTTGATGATGATTTTGATGTTTGCAGATGACTTTGATATCTGTGGTGAGAACTGGGAACAGGTGGAAGAGAACCTAGAGAGGTAGAAATAAGCACTTGAAAGAAGATGAATGAAAAGTCAACCCTAGAAGACAGAGCACATGAGGGTGAATGAGAGGGAGGCCAGTGGAACAGTGAGGCTACAAGGAGCAGAGGTCACAAAGGTGCAGGACTTCAAGTACTTGGAGTCCACTGTCCAGAAAAATGGGGAGTGTGGTAAAGAGGTTAAAAAGAGAGTCCAGGCAGGATGGAGTGGATGGAGAAAAGTTTCAGGAGTGATTTGCAACAAAGGGGTGTCTGCAAAGGTCAAAGGAAAAGTTTACAAGACAGTGGAGAGACCAGCTATGTTGTATGGGCTGGAGAAAGTGGCATTGACAAAAAGACAGGAGAAAGAACTGGAAGTGTCAGAAATGAAGATGTTGAGGTTCTCCTTAGGAGTGACAAAGATGGATAAGATTAGGAATGAGATCATCAGAGGTACAGCACAGGTTGAACAACTGGGAGATAGAGACCAGACTGAGATGGTTTGGACATGTCCAGAGGAGGGACAGTGGATATATTGGTAGAAGGATGTTAGAAATGCAGCTGCAATGGAAAAGACAAAGAGGAGATATATGGATGCAGTTAGAGAGGACATGGAGGTAGTTGTATTGAGGACAGAGGATGCAGAGGACAGAATGAGATGGAGGAGGATGACTCGCTGTGGTGATCCCTGAAGAGGGAAAAGCCAAAAGAAGAAGAAGAAGAAGGAAGAAGTTGTTTTTCTGCTCAAATATTGACACACATGTAAATGGTAAATGTGTGATTGTAGCTGGAGGGACACATTTAAAAGCAAAATAGTTTATTCTGTTTTCTTCACAGTACAGTATGTAATCTGTTTTTAATTCTCTTGAAGTTTGAGAAAATTCTATTTTTAGCATTAACATGGTCATCATGGTCTACAGCTGGGATTTCCTTATATGTTTGTGGTTTAGGTCTCCTCAGGACAACAAATGCCTCCTATAGAGAACTGGATAGGAACTGTTCTTAGCCATAAATTGTGTCCAGCTGCATAAATAAATATTTATTCCTCCCTTGAATCTGCATTTGATCAAAATGTTCCAGCAAAGAACCATGAATCAGGAGCCATCTCATGAAGGGTTGGGTTAACGATGTTAATATTTTTGTTCTGCGTTTAAAAAAAGTTTAATATTCTTTTTAAGCTCAACCTAAATTATGGACTTGATCTTCTCAGTTGTTTTCCCAATAGCTGATTTATACTTGAACAGATGCTGTGTTACTGAAGAGATGATCTTCTCTTCCAGGATGTTGGATCATAATCCACTCAACAGCTTATCCCATGAGACCTTTCTTGGGCTCCATTCCCTCGTGTTTCTGTAAGTTTTCCTTTTTCTTGTCAAATCCAGTTAGTTCCTTAAGTTTTGTGTTGAAAATATGTCGCTAGTAAAGAAAGCAACTTCTTTTCAAGATGTGTCCTTGAAAAAGTCAAGTTCTTACCTCAGAGACACATTTCCAATTGTTCTTGACTTTTGGTCAACACACACAAGTGCTTCAGCTTTTAAAAGCTGCTGCCATGTGAAGCGAATATCATTTTCTTGTTTCAACAGTTTCTGGCTGTGGGTGAAGATGTTATTTAGTGCACTTTCTGTCCTTGAAGTTGGAAGGTTGGAAACAGAATTAAATGGACGAGCAAAAGAATTTGAACGACAAGAGAAAAAAAAATGTGATGGGGCTACTGGAATTCAAATAGCTGAAAACATTAATTCTAGTCCAGATTGAAAGTAGTCACAACACATGGTGACGTACACTGAGTGTTGCAAATCAGCTGCGTATCTGCAAAACAGCTGTTTAACAGAAGAAAAATAGAAGATGCCTGAAAAAGTACACGTTAGAATTAGAAATGTCACTGTTGTGGTTAAAGTCTGTTCCAACTTGTGTGCAGGTCACTGACCAACAAATGTTCTTGGGATGGGCCATGGATTGGTCGTGATTTTGGGTGTCTGTCTTACTTTTTGTGTTTTGAATTTCATTTTTTGTTTTGCATTCTCATGTTTCTTAAGAGAAAGAATTGGAGCTAGCAGAGTTGAAGATGTTGAAGTTCTCCTTAGGAGTGACAAGGATGGATAAGATTAGGAATGAGATCATCAGAGGTACAGCACAGGTTGAACAACTGGGAGATAAAGTTAGAGAGGACAGACTGAGGTGGTTTGGACATGTCCAGAGGAGGGACAGTGGGTATATTGGTAGAAAGATGTTAGAAATGCAGCTGCCAGGGGAAAAAAAGAGGAGTTATATGGATGCAGTTAGAGAGGACATGGAGGTAGTTGGAGTGAGGACAGAGGATGCAGAGGACAGAGTGAGAAGGACAATGACTCGCCTCCAGAGTCAAGAGGGAACAGCTGAAAGAAAAAAAAAATATTATCATTTTTTTCTTTTAAGTAGGTTTTATCACTCAGTTATGTTAGTCATGCCTTTAGATGTCTTTAGTGATTCCTGCCCCCAGCTCATTTGTCTCCAATTAGTAATCAGCACACCTGTTGTCATTTACCTCTCCCTTTACATGTACATTAGTTTCCTTAGATACGTTAGATCCTTCTTTTTACTTCTGCTTATGTAGTGTTATATTACTTGTGTTTTGATCCTGAATCTGCCTCCAGCATCGTCCTTCTACAACCTATGGTTGTCTATGACCGAACTCAGTTGTCTTTTGTAAAGGGTCAGGTGTAAAGAAAATATATACTTAAAATTAGCAATAAATAAAACATACCACTCATTCATTGCAAAGGACAAGAAGTGAGAAAAATGAAAACTTGTTTTCATCACCAGGAGACAAACATTTTGCAGTGTAATAATTGTTACAGACCATAAAATCTTAAAGGGTCGGCCTAATTTCCATTATGAGACCCTGTCTCTGTCTGTTGTTCTCCCCTTGTCTCGTCCTGTAACTTATCAACCCTTACTACTGCACATTGTACAATAGTAAGGCTATGATGTTGTGCTTTGATTCTAGCTGTATCATTTTATATCACTTTCTTATCTGTCCACAAGCTGTCTCTGCTGGACTTATTCTCACCCTTTTTTGTCCCAGTTCTATCCTCAGCAGGAAATCCATCTCATTAAATGTCCTTTTGATGTTGATACTGGAAACTTATAAATGTTTTCTCATTTTGTTTGCCATTTTAGAAAAATGTTTGTACCTTCCAGGAATGACTCATTGACAAGAAGTGACTACGTCTCTCTTTTTATCCCTCTATTGTCTCTCGATTCAGTCTCTTAACTAAAAGCTATAACTCTCTTCCCATCTCGTCTGAAGTGCTACCACCTGAAATACAAAGCTCTTTACATCAGCAGGCCGCTGGAGAGGAGATCTGTTGATAGACTCTTCATACTGACACATCATATCTGCTGAGCTTTATGTTTAAACCTTGTTCACAAAACATATACGTATACTTTGACATTTATTACAGCTCTTTTTCAGCGCAAATACTCAACGTTAAATGCAGAACAATGAAACACAGAAAAGTTAAAAAGGAAAAAGTTGGGATGTTGCATTAAAAAAAAAATAAATAAATAAAATAAATAT